AGGGGTGGGGGTCGGGGGCGGGAGGGCCGCAGCGGGCGAGCGCCAGGTGAGGAGCCCGTCGCGCACCGGGCCTATGGCCTTGGGAATGGGTTGGGGGCGTGGGCGCGCGCTCCGGTGAATCGGGGGCTGATGGAGTGACTCAGGTGACCGAGGGGTGGGGTGAGAGCCCCGAGGTCAAACAGGTGTTTGCGAGGGTAGGCTGACTGACCCGGGTAGAGCCGGGGAGGGCCTGTCTCCTCGGAAGGAGGCCGGGGACGTGCAGGCCTTTGTAGTAAATGGGCGTCTTGGGGAGGAATGGGCGGTTCTGGCTTGAAGCAGGTGGTCTGAGAGGAGGGGCGTGTTTTCCTGGCCCTGGCTGACCTAGGGAAGGAAGCCTGGCCTGAATTTCCCCCGAGGCGAGGGCAGTCTCTTCGGCCTCCGACCTGGCTGTGGGAGTCGGGCACCAGAAGTAATTGCGGGGAGGGGGTAAATGCTAGGATGAAAGGCAAAGCTGTGCCAGAACTTGGGTCCTTTCCTGCCTTCTGTGGCTGGAATCCTTCTTGGTGTTCCATGGGAAGAGGGCCCGAACGCTTCTGGCACAGGAGGTGCCCTGGCAGGGCTGTTCCTGTCTGCCCGAGGCTGCTTGGAGGCCTCCTGCAACCGTTTGATGTTTCTTTTGTTATCTCTTCACATTCTGTGCTTATGGTGGGGATCTGCCAATGACCCAGGAGCCTGTCCCTGCCCCTTGCTGCCTCCAGGCCGAGGTTCCCAGAATCCAGGAGGAGCTGTGCCCAGACACTCATGGTGTCCATCCATTTAGGGAAGTGTATTAGGGAAAATACTTCCCATGCTCCCACCTCATGCTCTCCACGTAGCCCTAGGTGCAGATATTCCCCATAAGGGAAAACCGACAGTCTCCTGCCCACCTGGACCCTAGAGCCAAAGTGAGAGCTGGTTAGTTGAGCTGGATTTGGGACCTGCAGGGAGGCTAGTAGCTGAAGGCATGCACCATCCCGGCTCTGATGAGGCCGTTGGGGTGGTGGGCCATGTGTAGCAGATGGTTCTGAGAAGTGAGCTTGGCCTGGCTGAGGGATCGCTGCCCAGTCTGGCTGGTGGAGCCCAGCTGGCCCCAGAGTGGTTGTGTTTCCGTTCAGATCTCTCCACTAGCTAAACTGACCAGAAAAACTGACTTTCTGTACCACCTCCCCCACCCCCATGCTGTGCCACTTATTCCCACAACAGCCCTTGGAATAAGCCAATGAACATTTTATCTAACACCCATTGTGTGCCCTGTGTGGTGCCAGCCAGTTTTATATTTGCATTTCACTATGTTCACTATCCTCTAAGGTGAAATATTGTCCCCATTTTGCAGATGAGGAAACTGAGTCTCAGAGAGGTGAAGTGACTTGCCCCAGACCACACCAGTTGTAAAGTGGCCAGACCAGAGCTGATACGCAGGTCGGTCTTACTTCAAGTTCAGTACTTTTCCCAATAGACTTGCCAGAGATGGAATGGGAGAAATGTAGAATTTCTGTCTATTCTAGCCCATGCTTTGTTTCATGCCTGCCAGTGAGATCGTGCTTTAGCTTTTTGAAAATACTTCCCATCTGCTGCCCCATTTTATCCTTACAACATTCCTGGGAGGTAGGTCGAACAGGAATGTAACAGTAGATGCTGTTTATTAAGTGCTTATTAGACACCGTGCACTGTTCAGCGCTTTACCTGCAGGATCTCATTTGTGCTTTGCAAACAACCCTGTGAGGTGTAGGTGCTATCATCATCCCCATTTTATAGATGAGGATGCCGAGGCTCAGAGGTCAAATGGCTTCCCCAGGGTAGAACTTGAATCCACATCTTACGATCTGTGGGACTTGAAAGCTCCAAATGTACCAACTAACAATAATAGCTGTTACTAGTAATAGGAGCTTAACTTTTACAGAGTACTTTCAGATTTATTTATTTATTTATTTTTAAGATTTTATTTATTTATTTTGAGAGCGAGAGAGTGGGGAAGGGGCAGAGGGAGAGGGAGAGAGAGAGAATCTCCAGGAGACTCCCTGCTGAGCGCAGAGCCTGACTAGGGGCTCAACCCCACAGCCCTAAGATTATGACCTGAGCCGAAACCAAGAGTCGGACGTTCAACTAACTGAGCCACCCAGGCGCCCTGAGTATTTTCAGACTGATAAACATCTTCACACATATTACCTCATGCGATTTCTCTCAAGCCCCGTGAATTCATTTTGCCGTGTATTATCATCATCCCATTTTCTAGATGAAGAAACTGAGGTTCAGAGAGGTGAAGAGGTCAAGTCAGTGGCAGAACTAGGACTTGCTTCCCAAGTCCCAGTGTGCCTTATACGACCCCTTCGCCTGTTCACGTGCACTCCTCTCTCCCACAGCTCACCTGTCCCTGGGCTCCCAGGCCCTCCCGCGGCAGGCCCTGCCGGCTGGGCGATGTCTTCCTCAGACGAAGAAACGCTCAGTGAGCGGTCTTGCCGGAGCGAGCGGTCCTGCCGGAGCGAGCGGTCTTACAGGAGCGAGAGGTCAGGGAGCCTGTCCCCATGTCCCCCCGGGGACACCTTACCCTGGAACCTGCCACTGCATGAGCAGAAGAAGCGGAAGAGCCAGGACTCGGTGCTGGACCCTGCGGAGCGGGCCGTGGTCAGAGTCGCTGGTAAGAGAGGCCCGAGTGAGCGGGGTGGCGGGAGGCAAGTCGAGACCAGGCCCGTGTTCACGGGCTGTGGGGCGAGTCGTGCAGGGGGCCTCCTCGGGGCGCTCTGACAAGCCAGTTGGAATCCAACTTGGCATTACTACTGTTGGAAAGATGATGGCATAACGTCAAAGAAAACCCGAGCAAGTAGAATCTGCCGCCCCTCATCCCTGTGAGCTGGCCGGAGACCTGGTTGCATTTTTGCACCTTCTCTTTGTCCCCACGCAGCACCATTCTGGATCTTTTTTTCACTTACTCTTATACCCAAACGATTCTCCACATTACACCTTAGGCTTTAGAGTTACCATTTATAAAGGCTGTGTAACATTTCATGATTTTAAAAATCCTACTCATTTTCTACTTTTTTTTTTTTTTTTACCATAATAGTGCTGCAGAGAACATCTTTATGAATAATAACACTTGACTTCTGTCGAGTTATTTCCTTGGAATAAGTCCTCGGAGAGGGCAGTTTCGCTCCCTGTGCTTTCAGAAAACGTGGTACACACGTCCCCTCGGTGCCTAGCGGGGGCTGGGCTACCTGCTGCTGGGGGAGGTGCCCGCTTCTCCTTTGCAAGCAGCAGAGCGCGCAGGGCCGCGGTCAGGAGCGCGCAGGGCCGCGGTCAGGAGCGCGCAGGGCCGCGGTCAGGAGCGCGCAGGGCCGCGGTCAGGAGCGCGCAGGGCCGCGGTCAGGAGCGCGCAGGGCCGCGGTCAGGAGCGCGGGCTCCGCAGCCGGAGAGGGGAGGTGCTGGACGGCGGTCCTGTCACCGGCCGGCTGTGTGGCTCTAGGCAAGTCTCTTGTCCTGTCTGCGCCTCACTTTTCTCGGCTTGAGACTGCTTCCCGTGCGGAGCTGCCTTGAGGATGAGATAATGTATGTAAAGCTCTCAGCACGGTTTCTGGCTCAGGAAAGCGGAGTAGGTCGCGGAGTGCTCCCTCTGCTGCTTCCTCGGAGCTGCTTCCTCCGAGGGCATCCGGAGCCGCCTCCGCGGGCTGTGCTCAGCGTCAGCCGCCCGCCGCGGGGCCCGAGTGCAGAGGCAAAGCTAGACAAAGCCGGGCCGGCAGCTAGTTCAGTGACATCACCCGCTTTCATTCCATCACCAAGGCCTGTCCTGCTCCCTCTTTTGTGTCTCTCACGTAATGCCCCCCCCGGCCCGCCTCTGCTTTGTGCCAGCGCACCTGGACCTTCCAACCGGCTTCTCGCGGGTCTCCCTCCTCCACGTGACTCACAAGAATATTTTGTTCTAACGTGCGAACCTGATCCTGTTTGTTACTCAGCTGCTTCTAAGCCTTCTGTGGCTCTTCCTTGCCTATGGAATAGAGGCCCCTGGAATCAGGCCCCCTCTTGAGCTTCACCTTCTGCTAGCACCTTGCCACACTTAGCTGTACCTTGACCCCTAGAGCTGTGCGTCTTGCAGGCTCAGGCCTCCATGCTTTAGCTTTCTTCTCTGCAGGGCACTGGGAAAATGCCGCCTCGTCTGTCCCCAATACCCCCAGCGATATCCAGAGCTCCCTCCTCCGCTCTCCTATTGATGCTTTTCCCTCCCCTGTGTTCCCTCTTACAGTATGGCAGTTATTTCCCAGGGAACCCGTCACTCCCTCAGGACTGTGAGCTACCCTGGACCGTGTCTTGCTTACGTGTTTGCCCCCAGCTACTTGCATGGGGCCTTGTGCATGTTGGAGATCAACAAGCCCCGAATGACTGAAGGAGTGCAAGGAGTGTTTAGGGGAGAATATGTGACTGATTGTGATCCGGGAGCAGGCAGTGGAATGCTAGGTAGGTAGAGGGTTCTGTGGGCTCAAGTCCTGAGGAGAGGGTTCTAGCAGAAGGTGAACTTCCAAAGAGGAGACCTGGCAGGCAGGCTGGAGAGTCTGCACTCCTTTTGCAGGCAATAGGAAGCCCTTGGAGAAAGATCTTTGGTCCTTCTCAAGACCTTTGGGCCTGTGGCACCAGCCAGTGCGTAGAGTTTCCCAGCTGCCTCTAGGATGCCGGGAGGGCTTTACTTGTCTCCAGCCTTGAGGGGCCCCAAACAAGGGGTCTCATTTTCCTGAAGGCGGCCTCCTTCTCCCTCCATATGCTCTCTAGCCCCATCCTCCACCACGTGGACATACTTATAGGTCCCTTTGTGATGATTTCCCCTTCCAAGCTGTTCTGAGGGGCCCCACGGGATGATTTGCCCGCTGTTTAAACTTCTAAGTCTAGAACAGAAGTGGAGTGGACTTGAGAGGGCTTCGGCCCCAGGAAACGTCCCTAAAGATGCTGCTGGGTCAACTAAGCCGAGGACGGCAGGCGCTGTGTTGTGTTTCCGCATCCATGCTGATCTTCTCTACCTCCTGATGCTGCCAAATGACAGTCTTGAGGAGGGGGCTGGGCCAGGGAGGCTGAAAATGTGGAGACTGTCATGGTTAAAAATAACTCGTGTACTGCAGTTGGGCGTGTTTCGTCAGCAGCAGAGAAGAGGCGGGACGGCTGCTTCAGGGCCTGGCTGAAATCTTGCTGTGATTTTGGAACGTGGTGGGGGCTCGACCAGGGTTATTTAAAAGGCAGCCTGCCTTCTGCAGGGACTACTTCCTGTGAGGTGCAGGAAGGGCATGTCTGGGAGACCCTGGGTGCTCTGAGGCTCTCTGAAGTTACAACTTTCATTCTGGGAGGAAATGAAGTCAGTCTGGCCCTGGGAGCCAGCTGTGGCCCATGCAATTTTCTCCTCCTCATGGGTCTGGGTGTGAAGCCAAGTGGGGCTGTCCGAATCAGTCTCACCAAATGCAGAGACCTCCCTCCTTCCCTGGACCCATTCAGTGTCCTGTGCTTGAGAGGCCTGATGGGGAAGGGGGGCGCTGCTGGTCACACATGTCGGACTGGAGAGGCGTGTCAGGGCTGAGAAACCTGCTGATCTCAGTCTACAAAGCCCAAACAGGTTCTGGGGGCTCCATGCATGCTGTAACCCGATTCTTCCCATCCTCATCCTTTCCCGCCAGTTTCCCTCTCTCTTCTTGGCCAGCCCTATTCTCAACTCCTTAAGCCTAGCCACATTACAATGGAACAATAGTCCATTAACAAGAAAGCCTGTTTCTGTTGATCAGTGTTTGGGTTTGCATAGAGATTTCACAATAACTGTGAGTTAGGTAGGACACGTGTTAGGATCTGAGGCTCAGAGGATTTAAACAACTTGCCTGTAGTCAACACTCTGGTAGAGACAGATCCTCCGACTCTGGGTACACTGCTATTTCCATTTCCTTAGGCAACGTGTGGCAACCAGGCCAGGCTGAATCTTCTGCAGGTGACAAAATAAAAAGCTGAACTGGTCTCCAGACTCACTGAGAACTCTTCTGATCACTTCTGGGAGAGGTCTCAAGATCCTGGCCTATAAAAAGGCAGAGACAAAGATCTCTGAAACTTTGCCTCTTTGAAGACCTCTGGCTCTCTGTGGTTGGTGACCAGCTTTAGGGATATCCTTACTCATCCATCGGTGGGGGGCAACAAGGAATGGGAGGGACTGGGGAAGATACTCTAGCAAGAAGCACAACCCCACAGGAGAGGAAAGAAGATTGTATCTCTTGAGGCTTGTGGAGAGCCTCCCCCCAGCCCTGGGAAAAGCTGGGTATAGGACAGAGTGTCACACGGTTACACACTGTACAATTCTAGGGGGCACCATTCCTACTTTTTGTCATTGTGGATTTGTATATTTATTATGACAAATTTCCTGCAGATGGCAGTGAAGTGTCTGGAAGAAGGGATCCCCTTTGGGCTGGGGCTGGGCTGCATGCCGGAGGAATTCACCACCCACCTATATCAGTCAGGTATTCATCCATCACATCCTCAGGACCCTCCCTGTTCTTAGCATTGATATTCAAAGATGGCTGAAGTGCTCGCTTCGGCAGCACATATACTAAAATCAAAGATGGCTGGAGATGTGGCCCCTTCTTCACGGAGCTCGGTCTGGTTGAGAGGATAGCGGGGAAAAAATAATTACATTGCTGCGTGCATTGTGAAAGAGGGGGAGCACAGGGACTCAGGGATAAGGATTGGCCTCCTAATTAACCAGTAGAAAGCATCCATCGGATTTGTTCTTGGGGGCCCCTCAGCAGGTGCTGGTGAAATCATCATCTTCAATATCTGCTCCAGTGTGGTCTCCCCCAGGAAGGCTTCCCTGATCCCTCCAGTCAGACAGCAATTGTATCTCTGCCCAGCCCTTGTTTCAGTTGACCTTCTTTTAGAGTTCATTGTTTCCACCACCAGATCTAGAGGTTGCTATAGACAGGAGTCCCCATCTTACCCTGCCTGCTGTTGCCCCAGGATCTCACTCTGAGAGCATGGGCTTATTAGAATCTAGAAGCCCAGTGGGAGCTGTGAGATGCAGCTCTGATGCTGGTTTGCCCTGCTATCAGAGCTCAGCTCAGCTCGGCTGCTGGAGTCTCTCAAGGGCTTGCCTTTGGGGAGACAGCCTTTGAGAGCACATGCCTGGTCAGAGGAAGGGGCCGCACCTCTGCGCCCATGCATCTCTCCTCTGGGATGGAAGCTCTGAGAAGGAGCCTTTTTGCTTGTTCATTCATTCATGGAGACAAGTGGACCTGGAGTCAGAAAACTCGGGCGTATGACTTCACTTCTTGGAGCCTCAGAGTCCTTAGCTGTAAAAGGGAAATGATGGCATCTGCGTTGAATGGTCATTGGAGGAGAGTCGGAATGCGTTAGACGACACGGGTTAACATGCCTGTTCCTGCACTTAGCGTGTCATTCCTTGTAAGTTCTCTGGGCCACTAGAAGAGGCAGTGGAGTCTCCAGGAAGGCAGCAGTTTCCCAGATGAGCAAGGGAGGAGCTTCAGGCCTCTTAATTCCGTCCCTTTCTTTTGTTCACACTAGGGCTTGGTCAGAGGGCAGGTGGAAATGGTTTTTTCTTGGCCACGCCATGTTGGGAAGAAAGGGAGGGATGCAGGGGTGGGAAAGGGAGCCTTAAACACCGATTCCACTGGG